ATATTTTTTAATTTTTATAATATTGTATATATATATATATTATAATATACTATTATTTAGTAATTGTATTTGTATATAAATAATTATTAATTTATTTTGTGTTGAAATTATATAAAAACTAAAATTAACATTCAACACACACTATTAAAAATAAGAGCGATTTGAGAGAGAGAGCTTTAGGATATTGTGATAGTTTTTAAAAAAATTGTGAGAGATTAAGAGAAATTGGGAGAGATTGAGAGAAATTGAGAGAGATGGAGAGAAATTAAGAGAGATTGAGAGAGTTTGAGCGAGAAAAATGTGTGCGGGATGAGAGGTATTTATAGAGAAACTTTTGGGTTAAAAAATTAATTTTTTCCCCCAAATTCCGATCCAAAGGTCTTTTTTTGGTCTCGGCAGGTTAGGTTCGGGCCGAAAATCGGGCAACGAAAAAAAAGAGCCGTTGAAGTCAGGCTTTTTGGGCGGCGGGTCGGGTGCCAATAGTAAAAAAAATAGCCGTTGATCGGGCTTCGGGCAATTCGGGCCAGAGGGAAAAAAATCAAAAAAATTTCAACGGTTGACGGCTGGAAGCTTTCTTTCGGCGGTGGGCTTCGGCGATTCTGACCATTCTTGGGCAACCCGAGTCCGAGCCCGAAAATTTGCTTGGATGGGTGGCCTTATGGGCTTGCCCACCGAGCCAAAAAAATTCAGGCTTTGGGCAGGCCCGCCAGCCCAATGTTCCAGCACTAGTTCATGCATATATTGTTCTTGCATCGTTGCTTCTAGTTCCTAAGTTACTTGCTCAACGCTATGGTGAAGGAAGCAACGATGCAAGAACAATATCCGCATTTGTTCTTATCTTGAGGTAAGCTCTAATTTTGAGGATGAAATTCTTTAAGGGGGGTAGAATTATAACAACCTGAAGAATCATTCTGAAAACGATTCTGAAATTGTGTTTGGTTGTTTTTTTAAAAGATTATTTTTAGTATAATAAAAGAGTGAAATCGTGCTTGATTATAATTATTAATTAATATATTATAATATTGTTGATAAGTATTAGAAAATGAAAACATAAAAGTGAAACAACTTTCAACTGTTTTCTAAATTCTTTCACAAAAACCATTCACTTTTTTTGTTTTCGTTTTCAAAACATTTCCTAAACAAACGCAGTTTTATTTTCAATTTCATTTTTTACTCATTGAAAAACGTGAAAAACGTTTTGGAAACGAAACCAAACGCACCCATAGTGGTTCCCCTAATAATGCATGGTACGTCAATTGTAGTGCTCCGCTAGTTTCACTATGACTGCTGAAAAGCGTTACAATGAATTGTTTTGAAAAAACATGATGAGAG